TAATATAAGGTGGACACCTTATTTATTAATATAAGGTGGACACCTTATATAAACTCTTTTTTTAAGAAAAGGTTTATGTAAGGTTGACACCTTAAAATGTAGAATAAAGATGCACCTCCTTCAAAAAAAAAGTGACAAACATTTAATTTATCATCTCGAAATCAAGATGTATAAATCCGGAGAAAAAGAAGATTTCAAATTTTAAATATAGCAGATCTTGCAACACATTATATAGACCATCCATTTTGAAGATTTCCATGCATTTACAAATTTACTTGATTTGAATCATTTTTTTAAATTAAAATTTTATAATTACAAATCAAAATAGATTCTCCCACTATCCTAAAAATTTTCGATTCAAAAACTACCTCTTAAAATAAAAGTTGGAAGTACACCTTACTTTGATAGTTTAAAGTTGCAACCTTATGCAAACCACACCCTTTCTAAAAAAAAAAAAGCTAAGTGCACATTAAAAAAAGAAAAGCTAAGTCCACATTAAAAAAAAAAATTGTCTCCATTGTTTTCACTCGTTTTGAAGAAGTCGGAACCGGCACTTCTGCTGATTCTAATGCGAACCCCACTCACGTAACCTGAGCGTTAAAGAAAAAGGCGTAAAAAAGGGTGAGGTTCCTATAAGATGTCAACTTTTACTGTACATATAAGGCGTACCTCAAAATTTTGCAGGAAGATGCAGTTTCAGCGTCAAAAAACTTATGATGGATTGAAAATTTATGTCCCACCCGAATTATAAAATTTAAATTCCAACCACAGTATATACCGAACATGTATATAAATATGTAAAAATCTAAAAAATAGACGGTCTAGATAATTTGTTACAAAATGCCTTATTTTTAAAACTTGAAGTTCTTTGTTTTTTCTCACTACATAGATTCCGAAGTCAAGATGATCAATTGGAAGGTTTTCCACTTTCCAAACACTCTTTTCTATTAGATTTTTTAGGTGAATTCTCTATTGTAGAATAGTCTTATATAAACATTTTCATCTAAAAAAGTGATTTTTTGCCACAAACTTGACCCATCTGACTTGAGTACATGAACCATTTCATGCCGAACCATGGTAGGTAGCAGGTTCCAATTTGGAATCACAGGTAACAAGTATTGAAGTACGGACAGGAGCCTCAAATAATTTTTTGAGTGAAAGTTGACATGTCCCATAAATAATCCCCTTATGAAAGGTTATGGATTTCCCAAATATAAGGAATTATGAGACATCCAAACTATCAAATTCCATTTCACATCAAATAGTTGTAAAAAATTGTGACCACTTTGTACAAAAGATAAATAGTCTCATTGTATAGAATCTTTTTTTTTATTTTTGGGAAGGTTATAGATCCATACTTCCTTTCCCAATGGAATCAAACCAAACCCCTCATAAATTCAAAGTACTTTTGTCTCTTGGAACAAAAGAGAGAACCAATATTTCACTTGAAAAGAAGCTAATTTGACACTAGTCACTAAGCCTGACCTCTATGCCGTACCGCAGGACAGTGCTGTAGTGCGTAGGATCATTAGAATCTGATCCCCACCCCAATACTGCTGAAGAGGGTCACCACTTCCTATGTACTTCAGATCGCCGAAGCTCGAAGAGACATCACCCATATTTCACTTGCGAAGGAGCTAAATCAACCCAATTTTTTTGAAGAGGTCACTAAATTAAGGCTAAAGGGGAATCGCAGGAACAAAACACAATACTCGACATATAACCACATATTCACGATCCAGGAAGATTCTACCAGTGTAAAAGGACAATTTCCAAAAAATGTAGCATCCTGTGTCATTTAAGAATCAAGATTGGTGTAATATGTATACAAGATCTTTAATTCCTCAACACAACTTTGGTCATGCTTATCTTGAGAATACACCTTGCAATGCTTATATCCAGAATTATTATCACATGGTGATCAGTTAGAGGGAATCTTTTCTTATTTTTGTGAGCCATATTTTTATGTATCAGAATGAATGGATGAAAGAGAATATTCTGTAAGGAACGGAGCTGAGCGAGAACTAACCGAGGCTCTGTAATCTTTAGACCAGTTCAAAGCAGAAGCTTAAAAGCTTGGTCTTAGTCTGGATTGCAAGCACTCACACCAAGTCAAACTTGGGACTCACGAGAGTCAGCAAACCATGTTTCAAGTTTAACAACTCAAGAAGCACTGCCAAGTTCAAAGAATATGGGATACTTCAAGAAATATCCAAGATTCCAAGATTCCAAGATTTAAAGTGATCTCAATATAATCAAACAAAATTTCAAAGGATACAGATAATTTAGAAATCCTGCACACTTATTTCAAGCAATATGCTTCCAATTATCCCATATAAGCTCTGGATCTAACTTACCCAACCATATGGAAAAAAGGGATCCATTTGAACAGAACCCAGATTATGAAAATGGCAATTTCAAAGAATTGATTATTCCAATTACTCATTGACTTAAAAATTATAAGAAGCCAAAGAATCTGACAAAATTAGACAAGAAGGAAAGTTGAAATATTTTCATATTTCACATCCATGACAAGGATCAAAATATCTCCAAAATCAAAACAATGAAAGAAATACCAACATGGATACAGCAGGTGGGATCATGAATTTTTTTCGTATTCAAGAATGCACAACGAAGGTGTTCTCTGGAAGATATTTCATACATGATCATCTTATAGGAGGGGAGTGCAGAATGATAGGAATGACGCTTCTGAAAGGATGAAATAAAAGAGTAGTGTTTTGTGTGAACAGAGAGCAGATGGCGCTGAAAGTTCAAAGCCCTCTTCTTTTCCAATACACTTGGGAGATTAATTAAAAAAAAGAAAGAAAAAAGCAAGACTCTTTGGAGGTTATCAAGATTGAATTCAGGGAAGTTGTTGAGAACTTCCCTTCCTAATCTGTATGCTAGTATTTTTTTTTTTTTGGGGGGGGGTTGGGCGTTGGGGGGGAGAAGGAAAGAAAGGAAGACCCTTGCGAGGTTATCAAGATCGAATTCAGGGAACTTGTTGAGGACTTCCCTTCCCGTTATGTATGCTAGTGAATAGTTTGTCATTCTTATAAAAAAGAGAAGGTGGAAGACGTACATGAATCTCATATGAATGGGAGAGAGATGAAAATAAAGAAAAAATTTACAGTTTCATGCATTGGATTTCATCCACATTTAAATAAATAAATCACAATAAGATATGTTACAAGAGTAATGACCGCCATGAAATCAAATCAGACAACAGTTGAAAGAATGAGTATTCTGTCTTAATGTTGTATAAAATCTTACGAGTGTTATGGGTAGAGAAAAATGATCGTTTCGCCCCATTAATGACAATGATGCAGAAAAAATACTCATTGTTTGTCCAGATCATTGTCAATCAAGTGTAGGTACAGAAATCCACTACTGTAAATCTCTATATAAGCTTTTAATTATTAGAAGCCATCCCCCCTGGCCCCCCTCCAAAAAAAGAAAAAAGAAACCACATCATGGCTAAGGTCTTGGCCAACAAGATCAAGTAATGAATTTTGATCATCTACCTGAATAAGGGGGCCATGATCGAGGCCACCATGTTCTAAATTGTGTACATAACGCCCATGAGAAATACGATTTAAGAGGCAAAATAAAGCTAAGGCTACTATATAAGATGGATCACGCAAATCCTATGACCTTGAAAACCAGGATTCATTGATAGACATGCCCTGCAAGATGGGTTTTAAGTTTTAACTTTTGAAGGAATGGCAGCAGCAGATTACAGCTTATATGACTAAAACATCATGAACATGAAAAGTAGGTGAAGGAAGAGGTATTTTCCTAATAAGGGATACGCTTTCTATACTCCCATATAGTATCACATGTCGACTCAGCTGTACATTAAGGAAATAAAGAAACTTACAAATTTCAATGCACGTTTTATATTTTATGGAGTAGAGTGGACATGAAAAATGCAACTGTCGTATCAAATGAAGGAGGTCAATAAGCCGAATAATAAGAGGGATCTAGGAACTAATAGGTACAGAATGGTTAGCAGAAATTTCCTCTCTCAGTTATTACCAGGAATTTTCTAAGGAAATTCCTTTTTTGTAATGCAAAATCCTCTTGGGTAAAGATCTTTCATCTCTCCATGCTGCACTTAGGACAAAAACTACATGACGCCATCTCATTCAGCACTGCACATTGAGGGAGATACTATGAATAAGACCAGATGGATGAATAAAGATCACTGTGCCACACAAGAGGTTTCAGATTGTTTTGCATGATTTTGGACACTCACAAGTAGACGTAATTTGTCAATACCTCCGATAAGCATTAGATGGTGAACTTCCTTGCAAATTGGAAGGAAAACTTGGAATTGGGCTGGGTGATCGTTTTATTCAAAGGGGCCTAATGATTACTCTGATTACTAATGATCTGCTACCCATTAATCTGATTACAAATGACCTTTTAGCAATACAATATAGAAGGGCAAAAAATAGTAATGGAAACATGCTGCAAAATGAAATCACGAATATTCATACAGAGCCTGAATGTATAAAACACCAACGGCCGAACTAAATTTCAGTTTCAAGAATTTATCAAGTCACTTTGAAAACAATCTCCACTGTTGCCTCCTCCATCCAGAAGTTAAAACACTCCCACATTATTTGTGCAACTAGATATGAACTGTATGATTTGATAGGTGGAATATTTCACAGTAGCAGATATGTCATGCAAAAAAACCTCAAGCGTGGAAGCAACACTGCAATGAACAACAAGGCCGGTACTGTCAAAAGTAATTAACAGAAACATAACATGGCCACTGTACAAAAAATTTTGTATAGGCACGCAATACTCACCATAACCAAGCTACCCATCATTGATCAAGCTAATATACAAACAAAATTAACAAATCATCTGAAATTAATGAGATCAAACAAAAGAAGAGCAAAGCAAAATTACATGTAAAATCCAAATAGACTAAATCATCCTCAATGGAAAGAGAATATACCATTCATCCAACACCACAAGACAAGGCCTACTACATGGGAAAAGAAATTCCCAAACCAAATATATATATTAAACTTATTAGTCTTTGTTCGTGGAACATCGGCAAGCCAGCTAGAAAAAACAAAATATCCTAGACGAGATCTCTCCACTAAATACTGAATTTGGGTCACCGACAATCCCACAAGACTCAAACACCAGATCAGGAGTAGCAAAAGCAAAATGATGAGAACTTGAACTTGTAAACCCCATATCTCTAATTTCATAAATAAGAGTGTGCATAAGAATTAAACAACTGCAGAAGGCAAAAAAACAGGAAATCTCCTAAGGTCCACATCTCAACCTCCTTAAAGAACAGAGCAGCAGATAAATCAAAAGTCAGGACCCCTCAAATATAAATCGAATAATATATGGTCCTGACAACAACTACGAATGATTAGAGAGAAAAAAGAGACCCAACAACCTGAAGAGGTCTCAAACTGGCGAGTCATCCTTCCGACCTTCAGCTTCTCGATCAGGCCTCTGCTCCATTAGCAAACCAGCCTCCTCCTCAGCTTGAGCACTCTTCTTCTGAGCTTCCTTCAACTTCAAAGCCTGCAACTTGGTGTGATTGTAGTAACAAACACCCAAGAAAGCGAGCCCATACCCCAAAAGATTAATTGGGGTCACTGTATCCCTGATAACTGACCACGAAAAGGCAATGAGGAGCCAATCCTTGACCACCCCTGCAACATTCATGGTGAGAGCAGAGGTCTTCCCAATCAAAAGGAAAACAGCCAAATTCAAACCAAAAGCACAGAGAGAATTGGTCCCAAATATGAAGTAATCGAATCGGAACGTCGAAGTCTCTCTAATAATAGGGAATTCCACATAGAGCCATGGAATAGTGAGAAAGACCAAGCAACAAGGAGCCACATAGTAGAGAGAGGTTATGGGATTCAAATTGATCCCCTTCGAAGTAAGTAAGATCTGGATCAAAACCAGGCGGGTAGCCTCAAAAGCCACAGCACCCAATTGGAGCAAAACCCCCCATGAATCAAATCGAGCTTCACCATAGGCAGCGACTGCAACTCCAACGGAGATAGCAAGCATATTCGCCATGACATTGGATTTGAAGGTCTCCTTTTTAAGGCCAACCCCGATCGAGTAAACAGCAACGGGCATTAGGGCTTTGAGCATCTGGATGAAAGATACTGATAGATAAATGTACGCAGAGTTGGAGAACCAGAGGCTCATCGAGTAGAGAGCACCAATAGGGACTACAGAAGACAGGTAGACCTCCTTGCTCATGCCGATGGGCTCAACGACCTTGAGAACACGAACCAGAAGGACAGCTAAAGTAGAGCAAAAGGTCATATGGATCATGGTGAGGCTTATAGGGAACGGCCATCCGTACATCTTCCGATCGAGAATGTATTTGTTGTATACAATTACAGTGAAGCTCAGGAGGATCCAGATCCCCACATATGTATAGCTCAGAAGGATCTTTCTCAGCACATTCTCGTTCAGAGACCCGCCCTTCCCCATCTCCCTCTCTCTAAACCCTCAAACCTAGAACTTGAGAGAGAGACAGAGATATGGAGGTCTACAAAGAGATATACAAAGGCCTAGAGAGAGAAAGAGATATGGAGGTCTAGAGAGAGAGAAAAAACACAGAATTCACAGATTCAGATCGAAAATGAGACGGAAAACAGGAAAGACGAAAACTTTAGAGATAGAATTCAGGGATTGAGAGGCTAAGAGAGAGAGGGAGAGTTCAGAGGAGAATAGAGAGAGAAAAATTAAAATTAGAGAGAGAACATTGGAAGATCGAGATGTTGAATTCTAGAGAGAGAAAGGGGGGAGTCAAGAAGCAGATCTCTGCAATTATGAAGCATACAAGCAGATGGGAAACCGGGTTAGGGTTGGGTGGAGGAAGCCTCGTCCGTTCAAAGGTGGGGCAGCAATGCGTTGAAGGGGCAAAAAAAGTGTTAGAACAAATATATAGAGAGAGAAAGTGAGGAGAGTAAATACTCAGAGAACGTAGGAAATAACAAAGCCGCTGCCCGGGGTGGTCCTCATGGATCACGTAACTGTAACGAATAACGCATGTTAGAGAGAGAAAACAGATTAATCATGTAGAGAGAGAAAGTAAATAGATTAATAATGGAGAGAGAAAGCAAGGCAATCGTGTTCTAAGAGTTAGGGTTTCGTCAAGGATTCCTGTTTGGTTGAGGAGTGGGGTAGGTGATATGCTCAGGAGAGTGAAGGGTGAAAATATTACAGAGAGAGAGAAGAACGAGTCAGTGAGAGAAAATGGAGCAAAAAATATAAGGATTTTTTTTCTTTTTTTCTTTTTTCTTTTTTCTTTTTTTCTTTTCTTTTTTTTAAATTCAGTGGTAGGACAGGCTCTATATATTTTTTCATGCAGATAAGATGATTAGTTATTTTTAAGGATCCCGTTTCCATGCGGCCAAGCCTGCGTATGTTGAAATGGGGCCTATTAATAAATGGCTTTTTTTGAGATTTTTTTTAAATGGCTTATTTTTAAGATGACTTTTTTTTACTTAATTTTTAAGATGGCTTTTTTTACTTAATTTTTAAGAATATGTAATATCTAACATGGTAATCATGAATGTGAAAAAATAAATAAATTTTTAAAATTAAAAATAATAATTTTAATAAAAAATATTTGTGTAGTTAGTTTTTATTGTTTTTAGATGGAACACCTACTTGCATCCACCTTTAAGATTTGACGTTTTGATCCATATATATAGTCTTGTGGTCCAACCCGGATGAAATAATTTTCTTTCTTTAAAAGTGTCCAAGTTAGTGGTGTAGGAACTTGGTAACTAGGTATGGGGGTGCTATCATCACAAGCCGACCTCTTTCCTAATATCAAAGACTTCAAGTAGAGAGAACTGGAAAAAAGTTTACATAGGGCCACGGCGTAAAACTTGCCGTTTCAATCATCTAGAAAAACATTGTGAACATCTTCACACCCACAATTGTGGGGTAGCAAAAGGTCGGGTCTGAATAGTATTCGAGTCCAAAATTTGGACCTAGATTCGACTTTTCAAGTCCAAAATTTGAACCCATTTCTAGACCCAAGGTTGGGTCTATCCGTTGGTCTTGATTCTAATTAGGTCTATTGCCACCCTATGACTACAACTTTTTTCTTTCTTTTTTTTTGCCATTTTTTTTTACCATCATATACGACATGTGCTGATATTGTTGGCAACATTTACAATATTGCACAACATTTATGACTACCCACATTCCTTACTGTTTTAGGAAATTCCTAAGAAACAAATGTATTGGCAACATTTATGAATACCCACATATACGTGATATTAGTCGGGTCAGGAGTCGACTTTTCAGGTCCAAAATTTGGACCCATACCTAGACCTGACCTCGGGTCTACCCATCGTGTCCCGGGACCTTTTACAATTATGGAACTCAGAGAAAAAAATTAAAAATAAAATATCTAAAAACATATTTTTTTTGTATAGTTTATCATTCAAGCATTTTTTAGAGTGAACATCTTCACCCTAACAATTATGGAACTCAAAGAAAAAAAATAAAAAATAGAATTATCTCGGAACACATTTGTTTGGATCGTTTACCATTCAAACAATTTTTCTTTTGTTTTATTTTTAACTTCATTCAAACAATGTTTTTAAGTTTTAAAGCCCATAATTTGGTTTCGATTGTCCCCTAACTCTATGATCAGGATCGGGTGGATCGATGATTCTGCGTTAAAAATCAAAAAGTAAATTTAGGAGATTCAAGGGGTTGGAGATCTGGATTGTTCATCGACCGAATCCGATATGGATTGGTGATTCATGACCAATTATTGGGTTTTAAAAACTTTTGATTATATGCACCATTTTGGGAGCCCAATTTTCATAATACGGGAAAAATAGAATTGCATGGCATTATAAGGGATTTTGGCGGCGAAATTACATCTTCTTGCAGGGTTTTAATATACATTTTTATTTTTTATTATAGAAAATATATATAATGAGATAATTTATTTTTGATACAAAGATGTCACAATTATCATCAATTGTTAGATTTGAGATTGCATGGTTGAGGTGTGTCATTCTTTGGGCACAAAGTCTAAAATAAAATTTTTTAAATGTTGTAATATAATTTCATCTATTGGAATTCACATGCAATAGTCAAAACTCAAAAATAATGTGTGACCTCCTTGTATAAAAATAAATAGTCTCGTAATATATAAAACATAGAGATAAGGGAGAGATAAAAAAAGCTTATTGCCGGACGTGTCATGTGTTAGAGCATAGGCTGAAAATTGGGGTGGGGAGAATGTTGTTTGAAAACAAGATATTTTTTAAGGATGTGGTTAGCATAAGGCCTAGGCATTGCCATAAAATGTAAAGCCGCACTTCCAAACTCTGCAATCACATACAATTTTGATGCCATAAGGGTCTATGATGGCCTAAAATTTATTGATATACTTCGTATGAAATTTAAACTTTTAAAAATGATGCAAATGTGGTGGACATAGAAATAGTTGAAAAAAAACAGTGATAATGTGTCACAATATTTAAGACTTAAAATTTATTTTTTTCATATCCATCATCCAAGGTCCATATTGTCGATTTGAGTGTTTTCTTGCGACAAAATTGTACTTTCTATCGGGCACGGCTTGACCTTTAATGATAAGGGTATATATGAAGGATTTTTTTAATGTACTAAATGTTTTTTTGACACTTAATATTCTTACTCCATAGTGAAGTAATTTTTTCTCTAACGGTAGTCTAGGCAAGTAATCATGAGTAAAGTATTTATTAATTATAATAATAATGACACTATTCAATATTACCCACATAAAATATTAATTGTTTTTTAAACATTAATAGAATGTTGTTAGTTTTTATAAAAATACCTATCCTACCTTTTCTAATAACAAAAAATTGCAAAAATGCTATATTACTAAGCAAAAGTTATGAATGTCAAAAGATATTAAATAGATGAGAGATATACTCTATATGTAGTATATGTAGTAGTACCCTAACAAAACCCTAACAATAAAGTCTAGATTTATGTAAACTTTGTCCTTTTATTCTTTTTTTTTTAAAGATGCGGATAGCATGCGGCCAACTTTGATATTGTAGAAATGTAGGTTTGGCAATAAATATATTTTTAAATATAACTTGATCTTAGTTTTTATAGTATATATAATCTTTAACATGAAGATCATGGATATGAAAAAAAAAATTGAAAACTAAAAATAATAATTATATTAATAAAACATTTGAAGCATTAATTATTATTGTTTTTAGATGGAGTACTAAAAAAAAGAAAGAGGAGACAGTCCTCGTGAAAGACATTTCGATCTCAAGAGGTGAGTGTCCTTTCTCCTTTCTGTTTCCTTTGTGCAGGAGAGAGAGAGAGAGAAATTTTAGTAATTGTGCAATACATGAGCAGGACAAAATTGGATAATTTAGAGAGCGAGTTAAGGGAAAAAGTCGAGGGACAAAGGAAATTCAAGGAAATGTAAACGTGTCTTCTTCAGGTAATTGAAAAGTAATTAGAGCAAGAGATTGAGTAGGAGGGGCATGGAAACAACACGCGGGACACAAAGAAAATTTAAATTTTTTGTTTATTTCGTAAACTATAAAAATGTCGAAAGAGTTTTATTTTTCTATTTTTTTGGGTAAATTAGTGGGAGTGACAAACTCCTATTTGTTTTTTCTTTCGACCCACATATGTAGAAATACGGGCCTCTTAATAAATTTATTTTTGATATGGATTTTAAGATTTAATTTTTAAAGGCTTGTAATTTCTAACATGAAGATCATGAATATGAAAAAATAAATAAATTTTTATAACTAAAAATAATAATTCTAGTAAGAAAATATTTGGACCTTTAGTTTTCATTGCTTTTAGATGGAATACCTACTTGTATCCATCTCTAAAATGGATGCTTTACACTTTCTAGACCATTTATATAGAAATGCGATTCAGCCCGCATAAAACAATTTTCTTTTTGCTTTTATCTAAAAAATTACAAAAATATTATACGAGAAAAAAATACACTTACAACCATTATACAACCTTTTCTTGGGGAATATTGACAGAATCCCTCAAAATACAAAGAAAAACAAAAAGAGTTACAAAAATAGAAGTACACTTCAACTTGGGAATAAAAAATAGGGATAAATCCAGTGTGAGAGAGGGAGAATAATAAAGCGATTAAGATAGAGGATAAATGCATTGTAACTGGAGAGATAAAAGTATGAAAAGACAAATCAATAGCATGAGATCATTGTAAATAATTACATATCTAGAGGCACAATAGATTATGTAGGGTGGGTGCTTATATTATTACGTAATTTATAATTGTACTTCACGAATTTTAGACACTTTTATATTTTTATTTTGTATTTGAGTATCTTTATAATTGTACGTTATAATTGTACTTCACAAATTTTAGATACTTATATATTTTTATTTTATTTAATAAGTTATTTTTGTTATTGAGAGGGGTTTGACATCATCCACATGGAGTTTATGTTATAATACTCATACTATAAAGTATTTTATAATTATAAACAAATTTTGGATACTTTTATATCCTTATTTTCTATATAGGTTATTTTTTAATAGAGGTATTTTTTGTCATTAAGAGGGATGTAACATCACCCATAAGCACATCATTTAATGCTCCAGGGGTGATATTACACTGGTGTAGATCATGTGGCACCTTTCATAATGATCAAAATACCCTTATTAAAACAAGGTGTGGTTTCTATAACATTGCAACCTTAAACAATCCAAATAAGGTGCACCTCCAAAATTTATCATAATATGTAATTTTAGTGTAAAATATTCTTAGGATTATGTCCAAATCTATTTTCATATCTAATTATAACATTTTAAACTCCAAAAATGGTTAAAATCAAGTAGATCTAAAAACATATGAAAGTCATGAAATTAGACGGTCCAAATAATGTGTTGCAAGATGCACTGTTTCTAGGAATCAAAATCTTTTTTCTTTCATATTCATATATGGCGATGTTGAGATGATCAATTAGAGGGTTTTTCAACATTAAAACAACCTTTTTCGATGGATTTTTTAGGTGCATCTGTAATTCTACATTTTAAGGTTGCAACTTTATATAAACTTTTTCCATTAAAAAATATTGTATTACAAAAACAATACTATATAAATGTCAAAAAATTTGCCAAGCACTATTATAAAATGTTCTATAATGTGAATATCCTAACATAGTCCTTTTAGTTTTT